TAATAACTAAAGACAGGGTTAGTATGAAATGAGAGATGATATATGATATGTGGCAGACCTGAGACACTCCTGGAAGACTCCCTGACCGAGAGATGCGATCGAATCATTGATCCGAAGAATTGATTTTCCTTTGAGTAGACGAATGGCATTCTCAGCGACCGTAAGGCTCACAAAAATTGGAAACATCTGTGAAGATAGAAAACAATTGATTTAATACTCAATTTGTTTTTCATTCTTTTATTTAACGAAAGCTAAGATTTCTTTCTCTCCCTTTGGCTCCTAATCATTGAATTCTCTGACATCTCATGTCATTCAAGTGCCGCACAAAACACTATTGTTGTTGACTATTGCTTTATCTATCAGTATCTCATCACATGTCCATTCAGTTAATTTCTTTAGTTTAGATTTTTATCCGACAAAACGTGTCACAAACTCAACAATTGATCAAATTGTGAACACATTTTCAGTTCAGTTATTCTTTTCAATAGATTTCTGTATATTTTTGTAAAATTTTGCAGTAAATTATTTATTTGATCACATATTTCACAGAAGTTAGAACTTTTAAAGTTCTGTTTCTGTTTAAATATTTATTAGTTATTATATAACAATAAACTACACAAATATTATTACAATTATTAAACAAATTTTGTGTTGTTATTTGGGCTATAAATAAATTAATAAATTATATGAATAGTGAGTGAAATAATATACCTCTTCTACATATCTGGGAACGACTTTGATGTCCGGATACATACATTCTGATGGAAGCACTAAATAAAATATTTTGCGACAATTATCCAAAATATAAATCAATATATGAAGAGCTTGTGTCAGGAGTTGGCCTAACATTACGAATATATGAATTAACTATAAAGGCATTCAAAGTCACATCACATGAACATAGCATGCGTTCAATGGAAAGAAAGATCTCTCTTTTGCCCAAAAGTTTGTGTCGACTGGAAATGGATTGAATTTAGTACTTCTTGTGCCACATATTCTCCGCATTTAATACAAGTTATGTCATCATATATACCGTATAATGTGATCGAAAGGCTCAGTTACCTCTGCGCGCATTTCCCCTCAAACTATACTATAATAAGACTTTTTTATGACTGGACTCAAGAGTATTGCTATATTTGTTGGTCAATGAATGTCTTACACATCCAACCAAAACGCGAGAATAGTTCGTGACGTGATTTGGCCTCAATTTGAGCCAAAAATTTTGGTCAAAAGAAGGCCCAAAAGCAGCACTTATTTAAAACTTATATCATATCCAGTTTTATGAGTAAAGAATATATTGTGAAAAATATAAAACATTTAAAAACTCGTATTTTTCATATACGTATCTTCATGTACCTGTATATAAAACTTTCTGTTAATAATTTGTGGTGGTAAACAATAATTTGTGATAATTTATTCATCTCCGATCAAAAAATGATGGAAACAATAGCGGAATGTTTAAAACGTTTGGGTTATCTCTTTTATTTGGTGGATCCGAAAAGTTGTTCCTACGAAGACGTGAATTCAGTGCCCGATTATATCACACAAGTTATCCCTTATTTTGTTTCACTTATATTTATTGAACAAATTATCGCTTTTGTCAATGGATTTCGTGTCATACAAGTGAGTGATGCAATCGCTTCTCTATCGCAAGGAATCGCAATGGAATTGTCGAAGTAATGTAATCCCGGTCTTAGTTTTACGAGATATTATTTGGATTTCTTACAACGTTTTGCATTTCTAGATCATTATTTAAAGGCTTAGCCATAATGTCTTACATTTATATCTATCAAAACTGGAGGATTTGTTCGCTTGAATGGCAAAACACGAGCACTTGGATCATAGCATTTATTGCCGTCGATTTTGGTTTTTATTGGATTCATCGATTCACTCATGGTATTCATTATAAGATTATTTTTAATTTAATAAAATCTTATTACAATCAATAGTAGTATTTTCTAAGATTCTCATATATTAGACATACTGTACAAGTATATTGTATTTAAGGTATTTAATTAAATAATTATAATTACTGTGATTCTGTAGACGACTTTGAAAGCATATAACAATGCTTACGATTCATTAACTTTACATTGAAAATACATTCACAATAACAACAATTCAAGTCAAACCAATTTGTGTCAAACAGTTTAGTCAATTCAAGCAATTAAAGTCTAGTCCTTTTATAACTTTATATGGAATCCCATAAAATTAAATTACTATTTCCAATACTCTTTTGGTTTTATACTATTTATAACATTTTTATACTAAATAACATATTGTGTATTCAATACAGAATTTTTCAAAATATAAATAATTTATAATATTTATATGTGGTAAATATATTTTAACCACTAATAAACAAATTGTATATAAATTAAACTTTAAAAACACTAATATATTCAATACATTTGCAAAATTGATATAATAATAGATAAAATTAATTTAAACTAGATTTCAATATAATTGAATATAAAAACATTAATAAAATAATTTCCAACAAATTTAATTTTAAAACTTTTATTTAATTTCACGCATTAATGATAACAAATTATCTTTTAGCTATTATTGTGACTTCAAGTGAATTATATTTTCATATAAATATAATCACTACAAAACAGTATACATTGTATAGTAATAAATAAAACTATTTTTAAAACTTGAAAGTTCTTGCATTCAAATATAAGACATGGTTTAAAACATCAATTGAAATACAGTTTATTTATAGCTTTACTCTCTTTTATTACTAATTCAGATCATCTAAAATATAATTGAAAACACAATACTTTAAGTACTTGACAACTACTTATATTCCCATCAGAAATAAACGTGTTATGGGCCGCACATCAGGTTCACCACAGCTCTCAACAGTATAACCTGACCACAGCTCTAAGACAATCAGTTCTTCACCTCCTTTTCCAATACGTAATCTTCAAAACATTGAATCAATTGATTTCAAGATATTTATTGTTGAGATATATTTGCAGATATTTTATTTACCGTTGGCTGTTGTCATACCTCCGGCCGTATTTGTGGTTCACAATCAGTTCAACGTTCTCTACCAGTTCTGGATTCACACCCAACTTATCCGCACAATAGGGCCCTTAGAGTATATACTCAACACTCCGAGTCATCATCGCGTACATCACGGTATGTATTGTGACACCACTTGATCCTCATTTCCTTATTTGTGTCAATAAATTATCAATTTTGTTGTAAATATAGGAAGAAATGAGTACTGCATTGACAAGAATTATGGAGGAGTTCTCATTATATGGGACCGACTTTTTGGCACTTTTCAAATGGAAACGGATTGTGTATCTTATGGGTTAACGAAAAACATCCATACGTTTAATCCGTTCACTATTCAAATGCATCACTATTTTAATATTTATCACAAATTTAACCATGCTCAAGGATTTACAAATAAGTGGAACACTTTGTTTGCGGGTCCGGCCTGGGAGGGGGCAACTGCTGACGGGCCCAAACATGAGCAGCAAACTAGTGAATCGCCAGATATTGAATATGATCCACAAATTCCCACTGTTTATAAACTATATATTTTATTACATTTTGCAATCATAGTTGTAATTCACACAAATCTTATGCAAACAATTGATGTTTTGCCACATTATAGGGCAATCATTTGTTCGCTTTTTATTTGCTTTTCTTTGACTTCATTTGGTTTTATAATGGATTGTAAGAAATGGTCAAAATATTTTGAAATGTTTAGATGTTTTGCTTTTATATTCATTGAAAACCAATTGTTTAATGTTTTGGTTAATGAAAAGAATTACGATTTAATCCTTTTGATTAAATACATATATTTAACGTCAATATTTATCATATTCGTTGACTTTTTGTCCAATCATTACATAAGTATGTATATAAGGAAAAAATATAAATTAAAATAATTATTTGCTAAATAATTACTATCCTTTAAATGTGTTTAACGGATATAAAAGTTGTATTATATTTCACGGAATATTCTTAATGTAAATTCATTTATATTAACTACTAATGAAAACTAAATGAATAATCAATTAAATTATTTTTGTTATTAAAACGAATACTTATTTTTTAATTAATCGTTAACCAAATAGTAATTTTTAAAAATCTGTTGTAATTGCAAATAAATTGCCAAAAATTACAATCGATGTAAACTTCAATGAACGTGATATTTGCAAATTGCAATAACATCTTATGATTATTGAAGTGTCAATTAAGTGTTAAATATGGGTTTAAAAAATAAAAACAAATGTTTTTAGTTTTGAATACAAGTGATTTATTCTTTGGCTCAAAAGCTTTAAAATATTTTCATTTTCTAATAAATAGTTATAAATAATAACTTATTATTAATAACTGTTCAAAAATAGAACAAAACTGTATAAAAATTTGACAAATTCTTTGAGTTAACAGTAATTTAAAAGTTAACAGTAATTTAAAAGTTAACAGTAAATTGAATGAAGAAAAACATGTTTTATATATGAGTCTAAAACTTTCATTAAAATTAATAGAGATCTAAAACAGTGATAAAAGATATAGATTTTTAAATTATTTTCATTTTCTAATAAATAGTTATAAATAATAACTTATTATTAATAACTGTTCAAAAATAGAACAAAACTGTATAAAAATTTGACAAATTCTTTGAGTTAACAGTAATTTAAAAGTTAACAGTAAATTGAATGAAGAAAAACATGTTTTATATATGAGTCTAAAACTTTCATTAAAATTAATAGAGATCTAAAACAGTGATAAAAGATATAGATTTTTAAATTAGTTAACAGTAATTTAAAAGTTAACAGTAAATTGAATGAAGAAAAACATGTTTTATATATGAGTCTAAAACTTTCATTAAAATTAATAGAGATCTAAAACAGTGATAAAAGATATAGATTTTTAAATCACGATTAAATTGCATTAAAAGACCGATTCATTAATAAAAGTGAACAGCATTTTTGTCATTACATGTGACAACTAATTGTATTACAGTATAATTTATAACAAAAAAGCGATGAATTGTGTGTAAGTAATATCAAGATATATAATATCTAATGAATTGCATTAAGAAAACTATCACTAAATAGACTCTATGTTTACATAGAAAATAGCTATTCGTCTGTTTAACTGTATTACAGTATAGTTTGTATTGTATATCAATATAAAAGCATTAGTCTTAATAGATATGCTGCCCGTCGTAACCCATTCTCGACAATAATTCTTCCAATTCCTTAATCCGTTTGTCTTTGTCTGTGATTTGCACTTCTAGTGAATGAATTGTCGCACACTGCGAGTGAAACGCTTCCCACAACTATTTTCAATACAACAATTAATTAATCAATTTTTGCCATTAATTGTAATTCACTGCTAAAACAAACCTCTCTTTCATTTTTGGGCGGAAGACTTGTCTCATCAAAACTTTGGTGTGTTTGGTGTGTAATACCGTTGTTATAAATACCATTCGTATGGTTGTTGTCGATGTTGTGATTATTGTTATTATTTATACTAATATTAATGCTATTATTTATAGCATTCATATCATCGGATAGAGGAGGCGATGGCGTGCAGTTGGGCTCAGGTGTGTCCTCTTGAAGAGTGACAAAAGTAGCGGTCGGCAGGTGTTGTATAGTAACGATATCACACATATTCATTGCATTCTTCTTTGGCTCTCTGTCTTTAATCCACGGAAACTTCTTTCTAGGCGGAGATTCCGGACATTGATTGGACACTTCAATCTCTTCCTCGTTATAATCGTGACATCCATTGGAATCTCCATTAAAGCCATTCTTCTGTCTGTAATCCACTTTATTTTCTTGCGATATAAAAGCAAATTTGCGTTCAATATTGACGGCCGAAGTCTGAAGAATATTCTTCTCTGACTTTAAGAAAACCGGTTTATTTGTTTTGGCGCCGAATCCAGTCTTAAATGATTCAATTGACGCTTATTTTAAGTTAAGTTCATTAAAATTGTCATTAAATACTCAATCGTTATAAATATTAAATTATCTATTTTTAGCTGATTTTAAGTTTATGTAAACACATAACAGTTGTTTTACCTTAAGATTGATTAGAATTGGATTCCTATTCTTGCCGGACAGCCATTCCTCTGCGCTGAGAGCAGGAGTGGGCGCCGGAGTGTCGGGAAATATATCTGACTGAAACTGTTGCGACTTTCGCGGGACAATCATAGATATGGGTTCACAGACAGGACGAGTGGCGTGAAGTTTGTAGAAGCGAAACACTTCACACTTGTAGACATCTAAACCTCTTTTAGGCATTACTCCTAAACCTCTTTGTGGAAAACCCGTCAGAAACTGACTGATGTAATGACAAAAAGGCGGCTCATCTGTCAATTCGTAATAACGTATATTTCCGTCCCCTTTGCCCGCGATGTATACCATTCGAGTGTCGTTATCATAATATGGAAACATTACTCCCGACGAAGAGTCGATGCTCTCAATGGTGAGCGGATCCGACAGATCGTGTTCAGACCAAACAGCCCACTGACGGTCACTATATCGCGAGAATCCTGTTGTAAACAGTTTTCCAGTTTCGCCCAAAAATACAACTCTCGATGCTTTTGAGCCGCGATGACAGACACCGGAATTGACAACATCTCCACTCCGCGGATCAATTATCCGAAGTATTTTGTCTTTACAAGTAGTGGCCAATAGGCTTCCGTCCCGATTGAATGACATCGAGTGGATTACATCCGGATGGCAGTCGATCACCCGAACAGGAGTTCCAGTGCTTACATTCCACACAATCACCAAATAATCAAAGCCCGTCGAAAGAATAATATTATCGGCCGTCGGATGCCATTCAATGAAACTGACTCTTCTCTGGTGTTCAATCAAATCCATTATCGGTTCGCTTAGATTCCTCTGTTGGAGGCCTTCATCGGGAATATACCATATCTTAACTGTACAGTCGTCCGAACACGAGGCGATCACATTGTCATTGAATGGGTTCCACTTCAGGTCGAGGATAGGCCCCCTGTGGCCCACAACCCGACCCGCATTCACTTCTATCCGTCCAAACTATATATAAGTTATTGAATAAAATTTCATTCATTTAATTTTATATCAAAAGTAATTCATAAATTATATCATTTCATCCGAAAATTATTTAACATTTAAAGTTTGGCTCAAATTCAATGTCAATTGTTTAATGTTTTATTTATAAATTTATAAATTCTCTCTCTCTCTCTCTCTCTCTCTCTCTCTCTGTCATAAGATGTTATTTATAAGAGTTTTAAATGATATTCAGATGAAAGAAGTCTTAAGTATTGGTAAAAGTGAAGTGTTTTACAAAAGTTCCGTAAAGAAAGGGTTGACTCACTTTAGTTTCAGGAAAGACGATAAAACTTCCGCCGCCAGAGCTTTCGGTGCAAACGGCTATAAACTGAAACACATTATTATTAATTAAGCGTTAATTTGTCATCAAAACAGACACTACATTGTAGTCACTGTACATATGGTCGTATCAAATGGTGTTAATTATACAGTGATGTACACTGTCTGTACAGTATTGGAAGTGAAGACACTGTACAGTATAAGAGTGTAGTGTATTGTATGGCAAATGTTAGTTACCTTAGGATTGACGGCACAGAAGTTGGAGTCGTTAGCATTTTTGGTGATTTTCAAGTTATCATAACATTTGTCTTTCTTGGCCACACACCCGAACACATGTCTGAATTTACTGCTTCGGACCCCTTTGAACAGAGACTGAAATATGGTTTGCAAAACATTAGTCAAACTTTTTTTTCAATACAATTTAATACAATTTGGTAGTAGTTTTGGGAAAGCAATAAAAAAAAGTTATCGTCAAATGTTAGGTCACAGGAAAGTGTGAAATGATTGCAACAAAATCACCGCTCATTCAATACCTTAACACCACTTCTTTGGGACATTTTGTCGACCGAAATGAAAAGTCAAATAAATATTTTGAGTTAAATACGAGTCGTATTATATTAGATAAGACATAACATAACACTTATGCAGATTTTGATAACAAAATATAGTAATAAAAATATTTGTGATATGAATCACAAGAAGTGGTGCTTTAATAATAGCGTATTAATCATATGATAATGAAGTGAATAGGAGTGGTGTTAGTAGTGGTGGTTGTGGTGATAGATAATAGTGGGACATAATGTCCATCATATGAAGGGTTGATATGAGTGGTATGAGTGGTAGGGAAGGGCTGTTCCCTCCGACCAAACCAACTGCACAACTGGTGAAGTGAGCGCTCATTCACTGGTTGTACGCTTTGCTGATTGTGTTGTAATCACTGTTTTGTAAGGTTTAAGGCATTGAAGGCATTGACACATGCATTGGATAATAAGCTGGTTATGCATTATATGGTTAGATCACTACAACATTGTGGGACTCTGTATAGTGTACTGCAGACCACATTCACTGTCTGTCATTCACTTACCTTTTCATAGCTATTATTATTGTTGTTATTAGCGTTTGGGTCTAACATTTGGTTTACAAACTTTTTCTCACTTATACTCGAATAACGTTAACAAATATGCCTTAAAATAGATAATAATATTGCAATTTCTCCCACAATTAACTACGAAAAACACATTAAAACCATATAATTAAGACAAACAAATGATTATAACAATCATTAGATTAGAAATAATCACAAACTAAGAGAAGTGTAAATAACTATCTCGTTATCTCTGGTAAAGCAATGGTTTGTTGTTTGCATTACTCCTGGTTTAGGCCAAACACTAGACACTGAAGAGTAATACTGAAGACTGAGTTCTGAGTGCGATATGAGATGAGCTATGGATTTGAGGGATTGGGAGGAAAGGCGACGCCCAGTGTTCACAGAATATGATAATATAGTGGATATTAACTCTACTCTTGCGATAGAGTAGACGCGCCGAAAGAGAGAGGAGAGAGAGAGAGAGAGATGTACACATTAATTTTTTGTAAATATATTAATTATGCTATAATTTATACAATTTTATCAATATACTATTTGTTTAAATATAGGAATTTTAAGGGAAAATTGTGTAAATATAAAGTTGATATTTTCTGTAACTTTCCATTTGCATGGTTTGAGGCAAATGTGGATTTACAACATTATACACAAACTTAAAACCAATAGTTTCATTGACTTTTGACTAAAAGACTAAATCAATCGTTTCATCTCATTCTCAAATCACAATAAAAAGCAGTGTTTTTGTGTTAACAATATTTGTAGAGTAATAGGACTGACGAGGAATAGGTGTCTTCAGCCCAACCCTATAATAAACGAATTAAACTTTGAGTGAATAGTTGCTGTCATTTGGTTGAAAAGAAATTTGTTTTACACAATAAATTTCAAACTACTGTTTCTCTCAAAAAGCATTTTTGCGAAAATGTCTTTTGTTGTAACGATTGATGTCTTAATATAGACTTCAATGGAAGTGTCAGTTCAAGCAAACTAACTATCATTACTATTACTACTGTTGTCCTATAATTAACAAAACATTTATCTTTTAAATTATACACCATTTGGAGCCCAAAAAATCAAATTACAATAATTATCTCTCCTTTTAATCTATTATTTTTAATTTAATTTGTATTCAATTAGACATAAATCACGAATAAATAGCAAATATTTTAGTTGTAATGAGAAATAAATAACAAATAAGAAGCGATTCCTGTAATGAATAGATAGTAATTTTGGTGACAGTATTGGCGCATATGTAGCCAATGTTGGCAATGGTAGGCATCGGACATAGAGTCTGGCAATTTGTCTTTTAATTAATCACATTTTATCACATTATCTTCAATAGAGACGTCGAGCACTTCCATTAGTGACAGCTTATTGTCGACTAAATAAATGTCTGGCATTAGAAAATCGAAATGTAATTAACTCGTGAGCCTTACTAATTAAAATATAGGTATTGTTACCATCTATGATCTCTCTCTCTCTCTCTCTCTCTCTCTCTCTCTCTCTCTCTC